TAAACTAAATGTTTTTACCTTATAATTTCAAATTAATAATAATCAGGGCACAAAAATAACTAGCCTTTTTTTTCCTTTTAAAGAAACTATTTTATTCTGTTTGAGTAAGATTGTATCACAAGATGCCCCTCACTAGTCACAAGCAATCAACTCAAGTTTCCCTTTTATTATATCATTGTTCAAGGATGCTAATTCTTTTAAGTAATCCATGGAATACTTTTCTGGGGAAAACAAAACAAAACATTTTTTAAGACTTTTAATTCCCAAAGTCCCCATTTGCTTCTGTCATGACAGTCCTGACTGGAAGTCAAGTAGCCTAGGCTCTTGGAGGCTACAACACTCAACAGCAACTTCTGCACTAAACTACCTTACAAACACTTAAAAACTAAAACCAAAGCTCTCCCCAGCTCAATTCATTATAAAAGTCAGCATTCTAAAACCCAACGAAGCTTCAATAAAACCTTTCGGGGTGAAACCACTGAGCTATGATTTCACTCAACCATAGATTTCTTTAAAATTTGTTTAAGAAATATGTAAGCACTAAGAAATAAATGTAAACTTTGCACAACTGAACAACAGCAAAAGCAGGGGTGGGGAAATAAACGTAACTCTTTTTTTGCCACCAAGAACATACACAAAGGACAGCCATCACATCCCAAATGATGCTGTGGCTGTGCTCAGGATTTCAACTCTAAAATTAGCACAAGACAAAATCATTTACAAACTCCCTTGACCTCAAAGCAGAAGTGCACAGCTACGTCATACCTTCCATGACAGAAGGTGGTGTCAGTGAGCACGGCACCACACTGTGAACACAGAGAGAAAAATACAAGGAAAAAGGAATGACCACACAAAGAAAAAGGCCTCAAATATTCTGTCCTCAAATAGGAACCCAGCTGCCATAGGGGAAAACACACAAACTAGAAATATAAATCACAAGCACTTTGATATTTTATGGAAAAGAAGTTTTTGGTGTAAGATTGTTAGAAAAATTTTCTTGATAAGGTAGAGGGGAGCTTCAGAGAACAATTTGTTAAAAACCCCAGCTGCCTTTTCTCTTCCTTCCTTCCTTTCTCCCTCCCCTCCCCCTCTCCCTCTCCCTCCCTCCCTCCCTCCCTTCCTTTTTGGTTTTCTGAGACAGGATTTCTGTGTAGCTTTGTAGACCAGGCTGACCTCAAACTCTCAGAGATCTGCCTGCCTCTGCCTCCTGAGTGCTGGGATTAAAAGTGTGCACCACCACCACCCAAGCTGCTTTTTCTTTAAACTCAAGAATGAAATAAAAATTTTATTTAGATGTAATGCAGTTCTCATTTGGAACTAAATGCTAAGTCTGCAGTGTTAAAAATTATGTTATATAGATAGTGATAAACTTATTCTATTAAGTTTGCTTTTTTAAAAATCGTTTTATTTTGAAATAATTACAGACTCTTAAGGCATTGCAAGAATAGAAGTGAGATAACCCATGGCCCTATCATTAAGCTTCCTACACATATTTAAATTTATTTTACTGTTAATTATGTGTATATGGGGACAGAGTACATGCACATTGTGAGTACAGGTGTTCATGGATTCCAGAAAGGGGCACCAGATCCCCTGGAGCTAGAGTTATAGGAGGTTGAAACCACCTGACATAAGTCCTAGGAACTGAACTCAGGTCCTCAGCAAGAGTAGTAAGTTCTCTTAACTACTGAGCCATCTTTTCAGCCCCCACCCATACCATTTATATTCTGTCTTTGAATGGCTACGGTTGTGGCTGTCAAAAAATTATCCCACCCAATCAAGAATATTAACAAGCTTGTTAGGTGCATATGTATGTGTGTATGTATGCATGTATGTATGTTTGAAAGAAGCTCCAAAGAAACACTATCCAATTCAAATCCCACTTTAATCACATGAAGCTACCTGAACAAAGCACTTTTCTTAAAATATTCCATTACCAGTTTCTGCATCTGTTGATGTTAGTTCCCCCATTTTTAGAATTTGAAAATTTTAAATTTAGCTCCCACATAAATGCCTTTGTTCCTTACTGTTACTATACATCAATCAATAGTAAATTGTTAGGGAGTACAAGTAGAAATAAAAATGGTTGCTTTCAAAACAAAAGTTGATCCTCTAATATCCGAAAACAATTCAAGCACACTTAAACTGAAATTTGTTAGTTAATGTGGAACTTTAGTGAGGCTGAAGTTCTGAGAAACTCACATCTTCCTTATCTGCAATGTCTTTAGTGTTATGTCATCACTGTGACAGTGTTCACTCAGGATCTTTACCTTGTGGGAATTAGCAAACCAATTTTTCTAGCTCTGTAGTATTAACAAAATGAAAATGAGCAGAGTCCCTGTTATCATACTATCATCCACCGCCACCTCCAAAAGACAATGGCTCACAGTATTTGGTCAAGGCCATGGACCCCTTTTCCCAAGCTTCAAGCACAAACATGGTGAGAGAGTGGCCATGGAACCTTTGTCCGGCTAGGAAACTATTTCCTTCTAAGAGGCTGTCTGTGTGCCTGGTCCCTAAAGCACTGTGCTCAGTGTTTCCTATCATCTTACTTGCTCAGACAACAAAGCTGAACGGAGTCGCCCAGCATCTAAGTTCTTACTTACCCAACTCTAGTCTGCATCTCAGAAATGTGCTCTTCAAGCACTTGGGCTACAAGACGTAAGGCGAGAGGGTTCCAAGCAGGGTGGCCATAAAGCAAACAAGTCACTCTACAGTCACCCTCTCCACTAAAAAGGGCAAATGCTTGTCATTCTACAATTAACTCTTTTGGTTAAGAGTTCAGTACACAAAATATTACAGTACACTTCTTGGTTCAAGTCTAGCATCTTCTGAGAATGATCTGTTGCATTCTTCTACACTAGTGGATCTCAACCTTCCTAATGTTGTGTCCCCTTAACACAGTTCCTCATGTTGTGGTGACCCCAACCATAAAATTACTTTTGTTGCTACTTCATAACTAATTTTGTTACTATTATGAATCAAAAATATTGATATTCAGGATATCTGGTATCTCTGTGAAAGGGTTGTTTGAGCCACAGGTTGAGAACTGCTGTTCTACACATTTAGTCTAGACACCAGCAGTTTTATTAGAAGAACTTAACTCAGTATTATCTTCTAACTTTACCCACAGAGTTAGATTTCACACTTGATTTTACAATCTAGCAGTGATGATATAGTTCCTTCTCTTAGAAATTGTAATTTTTCAAAAATAACTGTCCTATTTTTGCATGTGTTTTACAATCGTAAACTACTTCAAATACTTTTTGGAAAGTTTATTATTAAATCATAATTGAAAATGACTAGCCCTGATTAAAGTATAAACAGATGTCTGATTAATGTACTCACTATCCGTCTCCAATATAGATCAGTCTTAGAGACAGTGGAGCCTCTTGATCTTGACTTTCAAAACAAAACACTCAGATTTCAGGTTGCTGTAACTGGCCTAAGATAGGCAACATACACACCACACACACTCCCACTCCCACACTCATCACATACACATACCATACACACCCTGCATACACTCTCACAAGCACACCCTCTGTTACACAAGTACTTGAAACTCACTGCGTTCCTGACCTAAATGCACCCAAAGAGAAGAACAAGACTATGAAGACTACCTTGTGTCTCCTTTAAAGCTTTCAAGAAAAAGTATTTACAATGACCTAAGCCTTGTATCTACCAGGACACAGAGCAAATCGGTGATGCAGCCAAAGGCCACTGAGCTTCGCTCTGCTCCCAGAAGCCCCATCTCTAGACAATGCAGCAGCTTGGTTTCTGCAGGACCTGGTAAGCTTCGCTGAGCACCATGGTAATCTTGTAAGACACAAATCCCAGAAGTAGTTTTACGGCAGAAGCACCTCCACCACTAAGAGAAGCATGCCTCCATTATATGTAAAATTACCACACAGCAAATCTTGAGAAATTCATTCAGCAACCAATAAATATAAATCATCTTAGAAATCTACTATTTTTGACTTATCCCTTTGGATCCTGCAACAGTAGTTAAAAATACACAGAAAATAATAGTTTTCATCAGAAAGTGTGTGGCTACATGACACACTTATTATGAAACAAACTGCTCTGAGTTAAGTGTGGAGCACTCAGACCAGACAAGTGGGAGGCGTCTCCAGGACCCTCACGGCAGCTCATCCCAAGGACGCTTAACAGTTAGCTGAGCACATTTCAATAAGGGTTTCTGCTGAACACAGTCAGTTCTGGCACTGATACAGGAATGAGACAAGTAGGCAATGGCGTCCTAAAATAAATAGGTCGAAAGCTGCCACGTTTGCCTTTGCGAGCCTAGAGCAAACATATCTGAAGTAATTATTCACACTGATGTGTTACGGGTGCGTGTCATAAAACTGCATATGTGGCACTGAACCGGCGATGGTGCAGACTTACAAGAGAGTAATTAAGAAGCACATTCCTCATTGCTTTTTAAAGTTAAATTCAGGCTTTTCTATTAAAATAATTTCTACTTTTCCTAGTTTCTGAAATAGGTATCAGACTTCTAAAAAGAAGAATAAGATCTCAGCCAAAAAGCCACATAGTAAGTATTAAGACAGGAACAAGAAAAATAAGTTAATAAGTTAACTTAAATAAATTAAAAATTCATTGAGAACAGAATTGCAGCTTTTAGACAGCAACTCCTGAACCAAAGGCAAAGATCTGCCATGATTAAGGCAGGATTTCTATATACAGTACCATGTGTTTGCCCCACCCACCCACCCACCTAGTTCCCTTAGCATTCGCCTTTATTTCAAATGCACTGCCAAGATGAAATGAAAGCTTCTCTAGTTTAAAAAGAAAGTCACATACGGGTCCTTCGGCCTTACAGTCGTCCTTATACCTATGACAGCATTTTTTTCTTTCGGTCTCCGTGCACTCAGTATAGGCAACTACTGCAAACAATCTTAAGACTTTGGCTGTGACAGGCTGCGACTGTCAGGGTGACAGCCGCTGTAAGGAATTACTCTCTTCTTCAGCTGGAGTCAGCTTGAGGGTTGGAAGCTTCCGAGGAAGAAGCTGAGGGCTTTGGCGGAGATTGTCATCCATCTGTAGAAAGCACAAAGACACACCTGATTAAGGTTGAGGCTCCTCCTTTGTGGATTGTGGCCTCGCCATCTGGAATACAGCCTGGACGAGAACAGAAGTGGATGTTTGCAGGACTGAGAGAGAAACATTTTTCTGACAGTTGCTCTCAAATACCAGCTGACTAAGTTTCCATGAGAAGCAATGTGGCTCATACTTGTCCCATCACAAAATTATAACAATTTCCACACAAAAAAAAGAATTTGGGGTTGAACTTGATCAGAGACTCACTTAAGACACCTTCTACAAGAAAGAGTAAGCACGATAGCTCTAAATGTGCTCTGCTGTCCTCTCCACACACTGAAGAATGGACACAGTCCCATCCTGTATGAGATGGCAAAATGAGGTTCAGACAAGAGAAGTCCCCTTTCCGGGTCCTAAAGCCAATGTCATGAACCATGTTTTCTTATTCTAACACAATTGTTTTTAACCACTCTTTTCCAAACTGAAAGAGAATGTCATGCAACACCCCCCACACCACCCTAGTTTAGAGTAGATAGACCAAAGGACGCTGGGAAACTGCGCAAGGACAAGGTCTTTCAAACACTGATCACTTCTAAGCCAACCTTAGAGAAGCCATTAAATAAGCATATTAAGAAAATGTCCAAGAAGTGCAGAAACACACTAGCAGCCCTGGAATACTTGGATAGATTACTCAGCCCTTAGACAAGCTCCAAAGCCCACCTTCACCCAGAGTACTGCAGAAGGTGCCAGATGTGGATAGTGTCGAGTTCTCTATCAACTTCACCTTTTGTTTTTTTTTTTTTTCGAGACAGGGTTTCTCTATTATTTCGGAAGTTGTCCAGGAACTCACTCTGTAGACCAGGCTGGCCTCGAACTCACAGAGATCCACCTGCCTCTGCCTCCCGAGTGCTGGGATTAAAGGCGTGCGCCACCAATGCCTGGCTCCCAACTTCACTTTTCAAAAAACTTGAAAGCAACTGCCATCAAACCACAAAACCAACAGAAAATAATATCCTATAATTCACCCAATAGACAGGCTGTTCTTAGAGTTCCCCATAAATGCACAATATTTTTAACTCCCCTTGTTTTCTCAAGATGCTTTCTGAACGAGGAAGAAACATTTTAGCAAAGCGTTTGTGTGTGTGTGTGTGTGTGTGTGTGTGTGTAAGGTTTACAGAAGACAGATAATAAAAGGTTAATTTTAAACTTTCAAATAGAAAAAAAGTATGACCAGAGAACAACTTCAGCAAGCAGCAGCATTTACTTTTCTGAAAGCACTGTTTCTCACGCGTTATTCTCTCTTAAGTTCTAGATTTCTGCTATAAATTGTGAACAGTGGTGACTAAGAAGAGCCACTGCCCTGTTATGTTCACCAACTCTCACACACTTCCTACAGAAGGGCGGCTATGAACACCTGCTGCTCTTACAAGACTTCCATAAGCTGACAAGACCCAAGGCGGACACGTATAGAGTGGTGATTGGGCTCCTAATGTTACCTTCTGTCTGCTGGTGTTTCATAGTTCCCCTGCCTTATCTGCCATGGATTCTACATACACAGAAAGTGGAAACTAGCGGGGTGGTAGGGGTGCACACCTTTTATCCCAGCACTCGGGAGGCAGGGGCAGGCAGGTCTTTGTGAGTTTGAGGCCAGCCTGGTCTACACAGCGAGTTGCAGGGACAGACAGGACTGTAATAAGACTGTTACACAGAGAAACCTTATCTTGAAAAACAACAACAAACAAGAAATGAAACTATGTTAAATAGTCTTCCTGTTAAATGAGTGAGTTCCTGTGACCGCATGAGCACTTCGCATACATCTTCATAGGCTGTGTATTGGACTGAGCAAAGAACAGAGCCTGCCCAGACATGACTAACAAGGAAGAGGGGAATGAGCGCTTAGACCCAGCAGAAAGTGATTTCAGGATAGAGCAAGGACAACAAGCAAGGCTTGCTTCTGATTTGCTGCCTTTAAAGGTAATTCTTATGCCACCCAACTTGATAAATGCAAACTCTACAGTAAAAGGCAAAAGGCAGACCCACTACAATTATTCAAATTTCCCTCAGTGCAATCAGGCCACTGCTGGCTTCAAAACACCACATTAAATCAATCTCCACTCAAAGTATATATAAACAGCCTTTTGAAAAGTAAACCCTTTAAAACTAAGATGATAGAGTGAATACACAACCCAAATAACAGCATTCCCACAGAAAGGAAAATTGCTGAAGTAACTCAACCTTTTCAATTAAGTTGGATTCCTTATTTACAAGCTGTGTGAGTTTCCGCAGGTTTGCATCTATCATTTCTTGACCAGCTGGAGAGGTGCCTGAGAAGCCAGGAGAGAAATCAGGAGAAGAAAGGAAACTTTGAAAGGTTTTCAAGCTGTTTAAGACTGAAAAAAAAATGTTTTCAGTTTATCCACCTTCCCAACTAAACCCCCCCACCCAAAGAGAAAACATATTTGGGTTCAAGGGCAAAGTTAGGAGGGACAGCAGTGCTCCGCAGGAAGTCAGAAAGGAAAACACTGACTTGTGTTCTTGGAAGACCCTGAGCCACAGGACATGCAGCCAGCTACAGTGGTTAGTTAGTAAAGGCACGGCACTCTCAGGGTTATGTGCCCCCTCCCTAATCACTAGATAGATCATCGGGTTTTTCGTTTGTTTTTTTGTTTTATCGAGACAGGCTTTCTCTGTATTGTTTTGGAGGCTGTCCTGGAACTTACTCTGTAGACCAGGCTGGCCTCGAACTCACAGAGATCTGCCTGCCTCTGCCTCCCGAGTGCTGGGATTAAAGGTGAGTGCCACCAATACCCAGCAGGTCATCAGTTTTAATGCCACAGGCATCTTACTAAGGTACCGATTCCCTAACGGCTACTCACCAGGCACCCAAGACATTTTAAAGGGATTTCTAGAAGCAGAGCCTTCTAGGATTGATCGTGGGAGATTTTAATTTGGGAAGTATGGAAGAGCTGTGTAGTCAGATTTGCTAGCCACTGCTCCAGAGTGACATGGTTGGATGTTACTTGATTCCCTAACTTCCCGTTTCCTAGACTTCCCTATATGTGAAGAAGATAATCCACCACAAATAACAACAACTTGTCTACCTAAGTCAGCTGTCTCATAACTTCTGTTTCTTAAAAGGACAACTTCAGCCACCTCTACAAATATAAACTTAATGCCCAGTCCCTTAAGCATAAGGCCCCCATCACAGAGAAGTCCATCCTAAGTGCCAAGAGCCCTCTACTTACTATATGTCCAGTTTTGTTGCAATCAGTTTTCAAGTAGTGGAATCATGGGAGTGTACCTCACCAAAGTCAATCTGCTACTGATTTCTGTTCATGGAGGAAAATGCTGGAAGCAGCAGGTGAGAATCATTTAAAGCAACTGCCCATTTACATGAGGATAAACACTACTTTTCAGCAGGGACTCAACACATGTGGTTTAATCTTTTGGAAGAAAAGGACTGACTTCAAGGGGGACAATACTTATAAAGATAAAGGGAACACGTGCAGTCCAGAGGATGGTGGGGGTCAGATGGTGCTTTCTCCGTTAAGTAAGAACATGGCAGCAGATGGAGCTGGCACACCACTAGGTCTTGCAGCTATGAACCGCACTTGTTCTACTTCTTCATTGCCAGGAATTAAAATACCCGTCTGAACAAACATCAGCTAAAGAAAAGCTGACTTACCTGCAGGCCCATGCCTAAAGTAGCTGTTTAGGATGTCATCGCAGAGTCGACACAGGTTGGAAAGCTGTTTCAGATGCTCTTGTAAGTGAACTTTGGGAAAGCGCACTTTATAAAGAGGTGCGAGGAAACCAAACACGTAGGCGTCCAAGGTGGAAGGTCTGGAGACAAAGGACTATCAGTCAAGAGCACTTACGGGAAGACAGACTTGGACCGTATTTTAAAATGCTCTTCAAACTGTCACGTCTAATAGTCAGCATCATGTTTTGAATTGTTTATTACCAATTTTGTTTCTAAAAGTGAGACAGACAGGGTTTTACCATCTATGTAGTTTTACAAATATCCTAGCCATTTATTTTATTCAGAAGAAATCAAGGCTGTAAACTACAAATGTCATGGACGGGAGCAGGGTGGAAATAATATTTGATAGTCTCACAGCCACATACGCAGCACACTAAGCTAATGTAAGATTAATGCCAGTGAGATCTCCTACAAAAGCTGAGTAGGTCCTGAGCTAAGAATTGAACCTGGTCCCCTTCTGAAGTGAAAAACTGATCTTTTGGGGACTAGGAGAACCACCTTTAACTCACAATTCACTGAATATAGCCATACAACATATCAAAATGACTCTTGTTTACACACTACAAATGATAAATTATATGTATATATTAAACAAGTATCAACAGTCCATACGCGTCCAAAAAAGCACCAGCCCTGGGACTGGGGAGCAGCTGGGTGACTTCAAGGAGCTCGAGAAGGGCGTGGTGGTGTGTAAGCAAAACACACACACACACACACACACACACACACACACACACACACACACACACAGCAGGGGCCGGTGGCTTCCTGGTGAGTGCAGCGGCTAACAGGGACATGCCTCTTACCCTGTCAGAGGAGGAAGGCCAGTGGCTATTGGGGCGGAGCTACAATCTTCTGCATCAGAAACACTGGCCCTCACTTCTTTTTTATTTTATTTATTTAAGGGATAAGAGATAGCTTATCCTAGAGCCAAAAAGGAGTAAGTGGTCATGGCCCAGGGATATAGATTTAGGTCACTCCAAATAGTGTTTTCACCCTGGCAGCAGTTTATGAAGCTTTTATAGTAACAGGACAAAGAAAGCCATAAATCAAACATATACTGGTGGAAACTATCAAAAAGGTGACTTACAGCAAAAAGACTTTAGTTGGAATTTACTCACGTGTCACCAAAGAAAAACTGAGATGTTCCCAGTCTGTGTGACAGAAGATTTAGGCACTCCTTGGCATCTCTGTATATCTAGGAAGGAAGGAAGATGCTCGAGGTGGCATTTCTAGGTAAGGCCACCAGTCCCCGAGCCTCTCCCTCCCCGGTGTTTGCTGGGAGGATCCCCCACCTGTGCCTCCACTTCACGGATGTGGTAGAGTGGTGGTTCTCCCCTAGTCAAGAGAATTCTATTCAGTGCTCCTCTGGACATCCTTCCAGGCAGGATCAAACTTAGAGGGAAGGGGATGCGGGAGGCAAACCACGGCTTTGTCACAGTAAAATAATTGTCATTCTCAACCCAGAACGTGTGAAGCTGACAGAGAAAGGTAAAACAATTACATGAATGTTCTCCTGCTAAAATAAACACCACACAATCAAAGTGACAGCTTTTTCATAAATGTCTTTGGACAAAGTAACTTTATTTAAATTTTCCAGATAAAATGACTCAAGGTAAAATGAGATTACTTTAAACATATGAATTTTGTTGACTGCTATATCTCAGCACCCAGAATACAGCCTAGCACATACGAAGTGCTCAATAAATATTCACTGAATGAATGAACTACAATATAACAAATTCTATAGATGGAACAAAGTTTCTTCTTCTATTGGTAGGGTTTATTCAAAAACAGCATTATTGTGCTGTAGTGGAACTCAGTGGTAAGATGTTTCTCTAGCTAAACAAGCAAGCAAACAAACCAGACTATCCACTTCAATGGCTAAGTCTAAGAGAACCCAGTTTTGTCACAATATAAAAGGTAAGACTAATGCGGGATTTTAAGACCCACCCCTCCCGCTTTTCTGTTCTTTCTAACCAGACTACAACACAACATTCTCACTAAATCACTACAATACTGCAGTATTCAGAAACACTCACCACAGCAGGGAGAAGTTTCTCTTCCAGGAGGGCAATGTACGCCAGGGTGTCTGCCCCTTGTTTTGCTGAGAGTTCACAGTCAGCATTGTATTTCTACTCAAAACCAAAGCAAAACCTCTCAGATGTCAGAGAACATCCCAAGGACAAGGAAGCTAAGCAAATTACAACTCTGATTGTCCCCCACAAATGTCAAACCTGACATTAAGGGGGGAAATGCTAACCCAATGAATACTGCTAATGAAAGCCACACCATTCACAAGTGAACAAGTGTTGCTTATCATGTGTCAGCTGGCTTCTATGGTTTAGATGCTCATTAATGACCTTTGTTCAGAGTATGGCATGTGATACAGTCATCAAGTAAAAACAATATTTTTAACAAGAAAGGAAAAAAGCATACAATTCTTCAAAATGTTCTTCTCCATTAAAAAATAAAAGGAGACTCTTCAATTTAGAATATACTTAAATTTTAATGGCACATGTTTTCTTTCAATTGTACTGACAAGCCAATTATAACTTTCATGCTACATGAATCTTTATGTTTAAACATCATGGATTTACTACATATTTACACTTTCACTTAATTTAGGTAACATGATTTCATAAAGCATATCAGATAAGAGTTTTTTAAAAAGCAAAATGCAAAGCTGGACAATACAATCACTCAGTAGCACAGCGATTGCATACCAATCACCAGGCCCCAGATTCAATTTCCAGTACAAAAATAAAATGGTTGCAGTTTGGTAGGAACCCAGGTGTCATACTTAGCATGCCATGAATAGCAACAATGGGACTAAAGTGGTAATGGTATCAACAAGAATAATCTTGAATAATTAAACTGAATCTTCTTACATCTTCACAAAACTATATACTGCATATACTTCACTATGACTTCCAAATCACAGTAAAATGCAGGTTTTATGGCAGTGGTAAGCAAGTCTTTGTTTCTCTGTTGTCAAAATCTAGGCATTCCCAGTTGCCCAATGAATTAAAAAAAAAAAACACCTTAAAATGGATTAAAAATAAAAGCCAGGCCAGTGGCTGTGCACGCCTTTAATCCCAGCACTCAGGAGACAGAGGCGGCGTCACACCTATAATCCTAGCATTTGATGCCAGTCTGTGCCGCTCAGTGGCAGCCAGGGTACTCTGAGTATAACCCGGTCTAAAATAATAATAGACTAACTTGCAGAAAATTATCTACTTCTTCAAAAGGAGCAACCCACCTGTTTTCTTAAAAAGTTTAGTATTTTTGCAGGCTGAGAAACAACGCTGTCTTCAGTTGTCAAAACTGGTACATCACCTATAATCAAAAACAGTTTACATTCAAGCAAACATCATAGTTTATTCTGAAGATTGCAATATCTTTAAACTATTTCAATTGTACACGGGAGAGCATGTGTAAGAACGCTTGCTTTTTTTTTTTTGTAGTTTTGCAAAGGGCAGTTCTGGAAAGCATTTTCGTTTTTTGGCTTACACATTGTTAGTTATTATTACTTAAGAGTGATCAAATCGCAGCCAACACACAGCCAAGGTCATTCTGAGAAGTCGAAAGGGCCTTAGTACTCTGGGGCTATACGCCCACGGCTTTAAGCACAAAGAGGGGTGTGAGTGGGAAGCGGGCAGACAGGGGCTGTGAACGCGTGCACGGTACCTCTCGAACCCCTCCAGGTGTGGTCTATGACGTTGATTTTCAAGGGCGCGCCAGAGAACTTGGCGTAAGCCTGCAACAGAGTTTGCGACAAGACATTTCAGACCGGGTAGTCACGCAGGCCCGCGGGGCGACTCTGACAGCCGCAACCGCCGAGGCCCGGGGCTGTCGCGCCCTCCCCCGCCTGCAGTCGGGGGCGCGCGGGCTCCCCGGCCCGGGGACGTCAGTGTGCGGGAGCGCGGGGATGCGGGCCGGGCGTGCTTCCTCCCACGGCAGGGAGCCCGCAGCAAGCCAGCCCAGCCCCCCCGCGCCCCGGCCCGCCACGCGGCCTCACCATCACCACCAGGGACTCGCTGTGGACCGAAGGGAGCCCCCAGCCGCCTCCCCAGCAGCTGAGCTCCAAGGGCGCCGCCATCTTGCCGGGGCCGACCTCCGTCACCCGGAAGCAGTCCTGCCGCCCACTCTCCAGCACGTGGAGTGGCGAGGGCGGGAGGAGGAGCAGGAGCTTGACTGCTCCTGGCTCTGTGCAGGGCCAGGAGGGGACTAACCAGACTGGGAGCTGAAAGGACCGTGCTTTAAGGGAAACAAACCCGCCACACGTCCTCCAGGTGTTTGTGGCCTGCAGAGCTACTGCTGATGTCATTATGGGACACCTAAATCTATCAAGCCACAGTTCGCACAAGTGTGGTTTTAAGTGACGTGTCCGTCTTTATGATGGGCCGTTGCCTGTCATTCCAGTCCCAATTTCGGTTGCTATTCCTATGTTAAGGTGATTCGACCTCACTAAACATTAACCCTGTTCCAAAGTTTAACAGAGGACTCCTACTTGCTCACAGTGCTAGTCCTTTAATCTAGACTAGCTTTCTTCTCCAATTGCTCTCCCCAAACTAAGTTTAGTGGGGCTGGAAAACTGGCTCTGTAAATGTACTTGTGGCTCTTGAAGACTCAGCACCTGCATGGTACTCGCAGTCCATGTAACTCCAGGTCCAGGAGATCCGAGGCCCTCTTCTGGCCTGGATGAGCACTCGGCCTTCGTGTGGTGCACAACTATGCATGGGGGGAAAACATGCATAAACATACATAAAAGTAAACTTACTTTACATTTTAAGTTAAACTTACCTCTTACAAAATTAGGAGCTCCTTCCGGCTTCCTGCAGCTCCTTGTATGCACTTCAATTTTGCTTCTGTTCTAGTCACAGGCTTTTTTGCCTCCCACTGTGCAGAAGGTCTTCGAGGAAGGACAGGTCTGGCTGCATAGGTGTGAGACCAATGCAGACAGGGAGGTTATTTATTTACAAAGGCTCATTTCACTAACTGCTCTGCTGTTGCTGTCTTGAAATTTTTATCTTGGCATAAGGGGCTTTTCATTTTTATCTTAGAATAAACATTGTAAATCATCCAGTTTTGTCTATGGGCCTAATGGGCATGGGCTAAATATTTCATAATCATTAAACCTGCTAATTCTCAGAAAAAAAATTAAAGAGATAATGTCATATTTACTGGTGCTGTATGGTTTTTATAGGCACTGTAGGCATTTCAGGCTGGATGGGGATGAGGATGGGCCAGGTATTCTGGCTCTTGGGAGTCACAGAATACTGAGTGTTACAGAGCTCAGGTGGAAAGGTATCCTGGAGCTCAGGAGCCAAGGACCACCACAGGTTGCAATAAGCTTGGCAGCTTACAGCCTTGCCTCAGAGAAAGACTTCTCCGGTGTATCAGCTCTGCTCTGGCAGGACAGGGTCTTCCAGCTGGGGATGTTCGCCTAGTGTAGCAGTTTTGCTAGGTAGGAGGTTTCTCGGGGGAAGTTGCTACAGTTCAGCTCTGCTCCTGGAGAGCTGAGAGCAGGGAGCCGGGTAACAACTCTGCTCTGCCAAAGAAGGTTTCCCGGGCAAGTGTTACAGCGCTGCTCGCTCTGCTCTGCTCTGCTCTGCTCTGCTCAGGGTCGCCTCTGCTCTGTCGCCGCCACAAAAGAAGATCTTCACCCAAAGCTCATCCAAAGGGGTTTATTGGAAGGCAGCTGGACCAGCCAAGCTGAACATACACAGGGTTTATATAGGGATTCTTGGGGTTGGGGAAGTTTTTCCAGAGTAGGGATTGGCCCGATTTCAGTGCTGAGCTCAGATTGGCTAGAGCTCTTTTTTACACAGGATTAGGGTCAGATTTGGCTCTGGTTTCAGGGCCAAAGTATGTTTCTTTCTCTGGTCCTTTTTAGCCTTTTGGCTCCAATTTTAGGGCCAGGGTACATTTCTTTCACTGACTCTGATTCCAGGGACAAAGTGTGTTCCTTTGGCACTGGTTTTAGGGTCAGGGTACATTTCTTTGGTTCTGGTTGCAGGGTCAAAGTGTGTTTATTTGGCTCTGCTCAGGGTGTGTTTATTTGACTGGTCCCTTTTCCCTACACTTTTTCTGGTCCTTTTTAGCCTTTTGGGTCCAATTTTAGGGCCAGGGTGCATTTCTTTCACTGACTCTGATTCCAGGGACAAAGTGTGTTCTTTTGGCACTGGTTTCAGGGTCAGGGTGCATTTCTTTAGTTCCGGTTGCAGGGCCAAAGTGTGTTTCTTTGACTGGTCCCTTTTCCCTACAGGCACCATAATTGTCTTTCTGGATTAACCTCTTGATATACTTCTGGGCTTTCTCTTTTCCTCTGTGTAAGGAGATGGTTGGGTCTGCTTCAACCGAAACACTGCAAATTTCCCTAACAATAATATTCAGTAATAATTGCTAGGCACTATATACATAGTGAGGAAGCAACACTAGAAAGTCGAAGTCCTGGCCTATTCCTATATTTTTTAAAGATAATGTTTCAAAAATAAGAGATATCCCAGAAATGAAAGAAAAGACATTCCATCCTAAGAAGTCATTACTCACACTTTTCAAGTGAGAAATGCTCAGCAAATGTACATTTGAAACTAAATAACACATTTACTGAGCAGATAGTACATCTGATACACTAGAAATCTTTGGAAGAATACAGAGATATATGAGACATAGAGTTTCTACTTAGGAGTTCATAGTCTACAAATCGGACATCACACACAGATTGGGTATTAAAAGAAATTGTTGGGCTGGAGACATGGCTCAGCTATTAAAGGCTAAGCTCACAACTATAAAAAGTCACTGTCACAGGTAATTTGGAGATATATGTAAAATACTAAAAACACAAAAGAGGAACAGTGCATCACCGCAGGATCATTTTGGAGGGTGTCTGGTTCGTCTTCAATACAAAGATGGTAATTTAACTTTCTGATTTGATGTTATGGAAGCTTCATGTTTTGAGAGAAATAAATTTCCAAGTAATAAAGCTCAGAGTCTGTGTACTGCAACAAGGTATTTAAAGTAGTCCCCAGTGAGAATGTGGATTCTCTGAGTCTTGTTGGCAGTTGGAATGGTAGGTGGTCAGAATTCTTTGTGGACACATAGTGTGCCCTTCTCTCCCACTACTCCTGCTACTTATGAGGATTAAATTTGCATTCGTGAGAACTCAAATCTCTTCACTTGTTGTTAGGATGAGGCAGATCACAGCATCTTTTTCTATCCGATAATTCTTTCTTACAGGTTTATTTGTGCCTAGTTAATAGCTCTCTTGTGTTGCTGTGATTCCTCTTGAAAGTCTATATCTGCTAGGTCGAATTGTTGAATTTTAAAACACTGGTGTACCTGATTGCACAACCAGGCTGGATACTGTTCCAGACAATGATAAAGAAAGCCAAAGCCATAAGAAATCATGCCTGGTGTGGGTAGTTGGCTCCTGTGACTTCCTTGGCTGTTAAAGAGGTTGTTCCGTATTCATCAGAATCTTAATTTTGGGTTCTTCCCAGGCAAAACATTCTCTGTATCTGCAGAGCATTCATGTATGGGCATGATGGCCTGAACCACAACTTTATAATGATTCTTCCAGACCATGTTTTTCCTGAACATTTTTGTTTTTCAGAAGATGCACATTAAGTGTCTTCATTTGAACTTAGAGGACCCGACCTTGGCATCTAGTCCTGTTGATCATGTGTTTCTTAGTTTTACTTGGGGCTGTGATACAAGTTCTGTTAGAATCCCTATGCACCCTGTTTCCGTGACTAAGAGTCTATGAAATAGAGTTCCCGGCAAAGGAGCAATGTTTGTGATAAATGATCATGCAGTATGTGATCCCTTACGGGAGAGTTAACTGAACATCCTTGAACATCCCTTAGTTTGTGTTCAGATATAGAAATCCTTAAGGAGAAAAATCCCATTGAAAATAGGTCAAGAGAACTACATTTTTTCTTAGCTTCTAGAATTGCTATGCATTTGTGAGCCAGTTATTAACTTTGGTTCCTCAGCTCTTCAATTATAAAGTGAAGGCTCTTTTAGCTCTGAGATACAATCATTAAATGTGTAACGAACATTTAGTAATAACTGACATTTATTAGAGCAATTTCTACAAAGTAGAATTGTTTACCGTATGTGACGTAACTCACTTGATCTCATAATAGCTCCATGAAGCAGTTCCTGTTGTCTCCCTTGGTTTTGTGGAGAGATATTAAAATACAAAGATGTTAGTTAACTTTTGCAAACTTTCACTAGGTGGGAGAACAAGGATTTGAACCCAAGAAATCAGCTTCAAAGCTGAAACTCCTCCTCTATCAAAGTTACAGTGCCTCCTATAATCTCCTAAGAAATCCATTTAAAAGTCTTCTTTTCATTTGTTTGTTTGAAGGTACTTTATTAAGATTTTTAAAAATCTCCCTCTGTGACACAAAACACACATTATTACTTCTTTAAATAGTGTTTAACATTAAGCCATTGAGCAAATTAGTTGAACAACTTCTGTGTACCTAGCACAGTGCAAGGCATCAAGGAATAAAAACTGGAAACCATGCTTTCAGATGAATAGTTGGTGAAATAAGAACTCTATGTTTGATATAACCAAATAATAACAAAATGCACCATTTTGTCAAGAGCACAAATCTAATCTTGTTTTTCACAAAGGCTTTAAATACCTTTCCATGCTTGGCAAAGGCATAATGAAGGAAACAGGATGTTGTTGACCTTGAATTGTGGATCCATTGGATTTAGTTTAACACGAAGGAAGGAACGATATTAAGCTAAGCTAGATAAGTGAAGATGTGACACAGAAATGAGGGTGTCTGTGGCAAGAAATTATAAACTGGATATTTATTGAAAGGAATGATGCTTAATTAACGGGTGCCATAATTGGAAGTTGTGGGTAAGTATAATTCTGAAGGATGTGAAGGAAGAATAAAACAACTGAAGAGAACAAATAGATTCCCCAGTCAAGAGCAAGTTTTATGAATCAGGTATATTGCATCAAATGAAGTAAAAATGGGTTGAAACACAGTTTAGCATGAAGATAGATGATGCCAAAGACAGGATAATCATGAGGTGCCTTCAAACAGGCAGTATTTAAATATTCAACATTTCTTAGTGATAACTGTCAGGCCCCATTGCTATTGACTCCATTCCATCCTGAC